CATGTACACACCTACTGGACAACATGCTTTAATATTCGTACTCATAAATCATATTTACAAAGTAACTATTCACAATTGATTGATCACTTGGTGATGATCAATATCATGCGTGTCTAGTCCTTATTAGTGCAGATCGAATGCTATCGACCATGTTGCAATGTCGCCACCAGTCTAGGTGACTCGACACTGCGTGCACTATTGTTAGATTAGATGGTGATTGGAGGTAGTCGACTACCTCCAACCACCATCTAATAAGTAACTATTGCTAGTTCACAATGTTAAGTTTCAATTATCAAACTCAAAAAGTTTTAAACTAAGGCATGAAAAATAATTACTAATCAGTGTTATTTTAATAATTCTCTCTACTTAAATCTCAATTCATTATGAAACTATTTAACATATTTATTCGTAAACAATTAATTAAATAATTAATTCAATTATTAATAAAGGAACAATACAAAAGCTGAAATATCGATGTAATAATATATAATAAATAATAATCCATAATTAATCAATATTTAATGTAGGATATATAATGCAAAATATCTTCATTAAATCAAGATTTAATATTATATATCATAATCATATCTGGTTTACATTATGATTATTTCATTTATTGTCTATTCCATTGTTTAAATTCAAGTGTTTATTTATTTATTGATGTCTGAATATTTTACAAAAAAAAAAGAAGCCTTTGAATAAATCAACTCAAGTCACGATAATAAATATGTCCACAAATTCTTTTCAATTGTATCTTTTTTCTTATTATCATTTCAATGTTGTTGTTGCTGTTGTTGTTTTTTCCTCTGTTATTGTTAAGTTCAGTCTTAATTTACTGCAAATGAATGAACAATTGAATAAATTAAATAAATAAAGAAAATTTCACTTGATTAAATTATCAAAAGGACCTCTTTCTTAATATTTTTTTTGCTTTTCTATTATTCTGGATGTAAAGTATTTTTGGTAAGTCTCTAGCGATATATATATATATATATATATATATATATATATATATATATATATATATATATATATATATATATATAGTTGAATAAAAATCTTAATATGCTCAATCAAATTTAATCATGATAGTAAAATAAGAGAGAAAATCTTTTGAAGAGTAAAAATAATCTGAATGAAATAATAATGTAGAAAAAAAAAGTATATAAGTCAGTTAACCTCAATCACCATCATCATCATTATAATCATCATGATGGAAGCGAAAAAGAAGGAAGATGAAGATGATAAATCAGAAAGAAATAAGTATTTCTCTAACCAAAAAACTCTTACTTGTGCAATCAAATGTATATAAGTAGTATAAGTATTAAAGAAAAAACTAACATTCTGTTATTATTTGATTACTGAATATGTAATCTTCTTGAAAGAAAAAAAAGAATTCATTGGGTTTGTCTTGTCATACTACAACAAATATGTGTACGTATGTATGTATGCGTTATTGGGTATATTTAAACCTATGTATGTGTTGAACAAGCAAACAACCAAATTGTTAAGAATAACTACAAATTGACAAATATAAAATCAAAATAAACCCTAATGAATTTCTTAGACTTAGAAACACGCATATTTTCAAGACATATGCATTTGTATAAATGTAATAATAAAATACAAATAAAAAGGATGAAATTAGTTCATCCCTATGATTGAAACGTACATAGTAATGAAATTGTAATCAACTTTTGTGATATACTTATATGTATGTGTGACTGTGTACATATATATGTATGTGAGTGGTTTACGGTGAAAGTCCTACACGAGTGTTTAATCACGTAAACAAAAATTTAGTTTGATGAGTAGGGGAAAAAAATAAAAAACAATAATAAAGGAAAAACTTCCTATTTGGTATATTTCAGTTGTTTTTAATCATTTTCTTGTTTATCCACTATTTTGCTTCTAAGTTCTGCTAGTTAGCTAGTGTACAGCATCAAAATGATGATGTAGCATTTAAAGAGTTAGGTGAAAAACGCAAGATCACTTCTTAATTCACTGTGACATAGGTTTAGTTTAACGTCCATTTTACTTTAGTATGATATTTGTTCATTATAACACATAGTCTTGCTTTGTATTAATTCAGCGTATTGTATTTCCGCTATTTCAGTTATGCATGATATTCTTTGATCAATCACTAAGTATCAGTATCTGTTTTAGACTTTTTGATAATTGTATGAAGTTTTTATCTGCTATCAGTATTTGTCTTCGTTTCTGCATCGTGAATATATAAGATTTTCTTGTTTCACGTTCAGTTTCGTAATCATAACAATAACATTAAGCGTAACTGTGAAAAAATGGATTACTGAACAAGTTATTAGACTGTTAGGATTCCATTGTGAATGACAAAAGTAAATATAATACAACGTTAACAAGGGTATATGACATCAATTTTAGTCCCAATAATGAAAGCTTGTAGTTCTGTCAAGTCGTATCCCCCCCCGCGAGAATAATTAGGAAGTAAACTATTTTATCATTGCAACAAGTACATGTACATAAGTCTCAAGGATGTTTCGGAAGATTTCTTAAAGTCATATTTCTTGAAGTTAAGTTATCATCCACCTAGTCAAGAATGACCATTAACTTATTATCATTAGAAATTACTTGACAATTATATCTCGGACAGTTACGCAAGAGTATGATCGATAATTAGGAGCAACAATTCAGGACTTACCTAGGCTGGACAAGTTTTATAATTATAATTAATTACACAAACGCGAATGACAGATTATAAGTGCCATGAAATGATGGTATACGAATGGAAATTTTTTATAAAAAGGTTCCGCTAAAAAACTACTTAACATATTAGACATGCATTCAGAAGGAATATCCTTTTAATCAAACTGATCTCAATATACAATATGATTTGTCCACTAAAACAATCCAAGTCAAATAAGTCACAAGGCTTAATCCTACCTCCAGTTGAGTTTTCTCATTTACATAAAAAGGTGGGTTCAAGTATAAAAATGATCAAAAAGAGAGGCTTCTACTTATTTTTCCCTGTATTTGAGTCATTGACGTCAAATGGAAAAAATATTGAAAAACACATGACACTATACAAAAATTCGACGTACATATAGCTTTTACAATAATGATACTATCGAATGTCTATATTGCGGTTGTCCGTTGTCATCAATACCTTTTGACACAAACAACGTGTAAACCGAAGACAGGTAAATAGTTTAACCTCTCCTTGGCGTGATAATTATTTGTTAATGACTAATTATTTTGGGAACTTATTTTGCCTTCTTTTAAACACTTCACTCATTTATGTAACCTATCGTTGTCATTATACGTAATCCCCACTTAGTTATTTATTAAAATGTTGGAACTATACCCTTATATATAAAAGTATTTTGTAAACTCGTTGCCAAATCCTACTCACCTAAATTTAATCTTTAAATTCAAAGACTAAAATTATTGATTTGATAAATAATTATAAACTTAAAGCTATTTACAGCTAATCACAAGCTGGGAGGCAAAATGTATACGTGTGTTAGGCCTGAACACCTGACATTTGAAACTTGCTGATTGAATGACAAGAAATGATAAATTACCAGCACACTGTTGAAGCAAACCATAAAGATCCTTCATGAGTAGCTTACAACTTTTTAATCTTATATTAACAATTACCAAACTTCTGATAGATAGGATCCAAAAGTATATGAAAAATTCCACCAGTCAAGGTGATGCAGAATAAATGACATTAGATGAGTTGCTGATGGTATCTGATCGACGGACATTCAGTATCTTGCACAGACAATTGTTTGTAAATACTTGTACATTTGTGATGATGGTTGTAGTTCTTCAAGTTTCAGCCACGTACAGTAGAACTAACCATCTTAACGTTCGTATTGAAGATTCTGACTTTGATGTTGTTTTGAGTTCTATATGTTCTTCAATTGTAGAAATGCTGTTCTTACTTTACCAACCCTTGCCTCTACATATGCATCAGATACTCCACGTTCATCGATGTTGTCCAGATATGTGAAAATCTCCACCTCCACCAGAGCTCCTCAATCAATCGTAATTAGATTGGTACTCTCTGTATTGTATTTGAAGATTTTGGTTTTTCCCTTGTGTATGTTGAGGCCTACTGCTGCTACACTGGCTGTCTTAACCTGCATTTGTTGGTGTTTATGGGATTGAAGAGTTAAGTCATTTGTGAAGTCAAACTCGTCTAGACTCATTCAAGTTGTTCATTGCATTCCAAGCTTCCCCTTAGATGTGGAAGTCTTCGTAATCCAGTCAACCACCAGAATGAAGAGGAAGGGTGGGAGTAAACAGGGCTGTCCAACACTTGAAATGCATCTGTACTGCTGTCTTACACTCAAGACTTTGCAGTGTAGTTCATCATAAGAATTCCATATGATGTTCGCAATCTTCTCAGGTACACCAGTGTTGAAGAAAGTTCCATAAGGTTCTACTATCCACGCTGTCAAACACTTTCTCATAGTCAAAGAAACTGTACTAACAGAAATAGTATAAGCCTGAAAAATGTACTTTTTAATATGAAAATAAGTGCACATACAGCACAACCACAACCAATGAATAAATACATCATAAATACTTCAGGTCAAAAATTATATCTTTCGATATTAAATAAGACTGTACCATAAAATATTCTTTCCTTAGAAATATAACTTGACAAACACTTCTTAATATTATCTTTAAAGCTTTGTACGGAAGATCGCGATCTAAATTGATAGAAATACAACCTCCGCACTGGATTATTATAAACGAGAAACAGGATTATATTCATCTGATCTCACAAGACGTCTTAACTGTAACATCGATGAAATTTTGCAGGCAACGTTGTCATAATGCGTTGATAACATTTAGAATAATCATAATGCAATTAATCAGCCAGCACAATATTAGTTAACAACTATGACAAGAACTTGTTCTCACCCCTACCACTACGCTTTAATGCGACTGAATACATGTTATTCTCTCGATTCCCAAATAAAAGAATAAACAATAACTCTACTATACAAACCGGAATACCCATGTAAAATAACAACCTGTCATTCAAATAAACAATATCTTCAAAAAAAATTTTATTTATCAACACAACTCGTAATAAATATACATAATACATCTTGAGAATTGAATATTTATTTTATGTTAATGCTACCATTCCATCCCAGAGCCTAGAGCATCTTCTATATATCGTTTGTAAATCGCCATAAATGCAATTACAAACGCTTCCAAATGAAAAATTGGTTTCTGGCCTAAATTCAATCGATGTTCATATTCTGCACCCAATTGGACCAATTCCAGTTTTAAATTACGATCACATGAATTTAACAGATTGTCGACCAGACCCTAATAAAAAAAGAATAAAAATGTATGAAGTACCTTTTTCTCGTAGAAGTGAACGTACGAAGTTAGCTTTAAAAAATTAGATTACATTGTATTGTTTTAAGCTATCTTTCTTGAGTGAGAGTATTATTCAGTTGCTGAAACCAAAAATGGGCAAAGCGCGTTTCAAACTAACGATCGTATAATTGGAAGTTAAGTGCTCAAACCACTCTAATATAACATTTTTATTCCTAATATGTTTCTTTCCAAAATTACTTCTTACCCATACACGTAGTACAGAACAATCTTATCCTTATCTTCCTTGACATCAATGGTTAATAATAGTAATTTAAGAAAAGGAATGTAAACCTTAAAAATATCCGTAAGAAATAAACCAGATATCATTATCAGTAGTATCATCAAAATCCCCATTATTTTATTTAGCATACTTCTCACATTCATTTCTACGATTACTCCAAAATACGTTTGATCTAATCAGATTAGAAATTCATTAACATATAAACATGTATAAATGAAATGATCATAATATTTAACCAAAACCTTATGTTCTTGAAAAAAATAATATTGCCTAAAGATTAATTTACTTAAAGGGTTTTAATTATGCTGACTTAACGAGACAGAAAAATAAAATTATCAGCTCATTAACTGATATGCCTACTACATTATTCACCGATGCACACATGAATCGAGATATGAATATAATAAAACGAAATAACTCATTTATTTAACAAAATAGCTTAAATGAGCGATTCGTAGGAAAATATCTCTAAGAAAATTAATTAATGGATAACAACTTTAACCATTCAATTCAATCAATAAACTCCGAGCCCACAGTCACTGTGTCCGTCTCCAAAAGTAATTTTTTGGCATAGTTAGTTTCATATAAAACGTATTATCAACAGTCCATTACACGGTTAAACATGTGACTACAGAAACGAAGTAAAATACGAGTTTCTCAAAATAATAAACTGATACCAGTAGCTTTATTTACGTAAAACCCTTGATATATTGAGTATGTACATGTGTAACATGAATATTATCAAAGTTTAACTAAATAGATAGAAGTTAGGTTTAATTCTCGGATAAAATATCAGAAAACTTCGACTGTTCGATAGAAAGTGTCTAGAAATACTGACTTTAGTTTGACGGAACATTTCAATAATCAAAACTGAGATAAAGAGAACAGTAATACCAGAAAAAAACTGCTCATCTTTGTCATGTCAAATGACTGAACAAGGTATATGTGATCGTAGGGAAATACTGTATCAAAATACAAAAATTAATTGTGAAGAGGTGATTTTGTGGTTAAAACAATCAGATTTCAACAAATAAGTGATCGCAGGTTCGAAGCCCACTTCACTCCGGTTTATGCAACTAAGTAGTACTAATACAGCTCATATGAACTATTTAATTTGGAAAAGTACACTGTAAACTAGTAATTCATAAATAAGAGACATTTTAGAAGAAAAATCAAACCGTCATATAAAACAAATCCATAAAGGTTTTAACTATTGAAGTTATTTGTGAACAGAACAATAGATATTTTTGTAGAAGCTTCGGCAACAGTGAAAATCAGTAATCGGGTGATGTAAAAGTTCTGGTTCAGTTTACTCTTTACATAGATAGTGAAAATATGATTGTTCTACTGTTAATGATACCCAGTTACCAGATTTACCACCTTATAACACCACTACTCAAGTTAATAAACTTTGTATTTATATTTCCTGATACATATAACAGTTGGTCAATTCCATCATATTTAATTATAACGATGTTTCAAAATAACACCCTTCAAACTACACTTCACACTGGACATATTAAAATCACAAACAATATGAATTCATTTTGACAAATACAACATATAAAGTTTACTTTCGAAAATTCACTACTTATATAAATTTCAGTAGCCATTAATGCTACTTGAAATTTTAGCGTTGTAGTATTTCCCGACTCAAACAGATCCACAAAAATATCTATCTTCATAAACACATTAGTAGTTGAAATTTTCCATACAGATAATGTTCAACAAGCTGTTATGTACAGTTTGACGTGTGCTTCATTTTTTTCAATAGTGGGTATAGTAAGATCAAGTTGTTATGTTTGCATTTTAAGATTTGTCCCAGAACCCTTTCAAAAATACGAGCCATCTTTGGTTTTGATTAACTTTCAAATACTTGGGTCATAAGCAAGTTTAATTTTATGAGCAAATTCAAAAATAAATCATTTGATCTTAATAAAAACTTACTCTCATTATAATGTTGGGCGGGATACAATGACATAATAATTCATAAAGACGATTGCGGACTTCTAGTATTCTGTAGAGAAAATTTGAGAAAGTTCGGCTATTAATATATGATACAGAGAATAGTAACCCAGAGGCATGTATAACTCATTATTTACGCACTAAGTAGTAGAATTTTAGTATAATGAAAACTACTATCTAAACACTAAAGGATAATGGACGGAACAAAGAAATGTCTTTCCCAATTAGCTTTTCTTCACAGCTCTACACTAATACATCAGTACGAATCAAGCGATGGTGAGTTATTTAACAGTATTAGAAATTCAGAAGTATCTATGAAAATAATTAAGAACGAATGAAGGAATTCATTGAAGATGAAAGATAAATAGGTTTGATGTACTATTCAAATGTATTACTTAATAGATGAGTTGTTATAAAAATAAACCAGTGAAACAGTTATGAATTATTGTTAAGAAGTTGAATATTAATCATAGTTCTGTACGCGAAAATAGACGAGTATCATTCAAAGTTATGCGAAGAAAAACGAGATAACAAGTGTAATTCAACAAGAGAGATGACAGATAATTTCCAAAATACTAGAATTCATTGAACAAAAGGTTAAACAAAATCATAAGCCACAATGATGACCAAACTGATCAGTGTGGTTGCATAAGTTTTATTAAATAGAAAGGTCTAGTTTGATCAGATGGGTCACGATAATAACTAGCTCTGAGGAATCAGTTGAAGTGATTGGTGTACATAAAGGCAAACTGCCTTCAATATCTTCATTTAGGATCACCGGTTGTAAAGTTTTGTATCCGTTAAGTAACTGTACCACTGGCAACCCCAGTCAAGAACTCTAGTTTATAAAGTAATATACACTGATAAATGGTGGGATTTCACCCACGCGAGTAACGTCAAGTCCACTGACACAGTTTTTGCGTATGTTGACGGTCGACAGTCCCGTACAAAGCTCACCCGTAACCAATCCACCAATCAGATCATTGAGAAGACCATCTAAATACCTAGAACACATTGTAGTATTCAGATTCAAAAACTCACATGATTATATGTATAAAATGTTAAACCATAAGGCATGTGTAGCAAATCGTAGTGTATATATAACTAAGCCATTCTTGGCAAAAAGTTGAATAACACAGCTATTACTTAATAAGAAATAATTTCTGAATAATAAAAGATTCGGAAAAGCTGAGAAGTCAAAGAATAACTTACAACCAGCGTTAAATAAAAACACCACGGATCAGCTGTTCGATAAATATGCAACAAAAACATACAAACTAATTCCCTCGAAAACAATTTCTCAAGTTTCCTTGACTGTTCCTAACAGTACAAAGCTATTACAAAATGCTAATCTAAAAAATATCACTTACAATTATTTTTCTAAACAACTCCAAATGATTGCGGACAATGAGTAAACTAGGGATAGATCTATTCTAAATTCTGAAATGCAATCTATTCTAAGTTTTTAAGATTTTATAGTTTAGCCACAGACACCGAGCTTTGAGTTCGCTGCAATAAATCAAAAAAGATAAAAGAGTTCTAAAAAAGTGAAGAAAAATGTTCGTGAACCAGGCACTTCTGACAATTCCAATTGTTTGATCTCTGTTTAACAAGTTCCCAGTGGAACTTGGATTACGAGTGAATACTTCAAGTAAAGAAGTACTTTTTCAAACATCAAAATGATTTGTTTCATAGGAAACGTCTGTAAGTTGCAAAATTATAGTTTGTTTTCAGTTGCTACTGGATCTAATTGCCTGAAAGGAAATTGTTCTCTTGTAATTCTCTTTTAGCCGTAACTAAATACTCTTGATTAACACATGCTGATTGGATTTGATGGAAACACAATATACACATTTATAAGGTTTACTGACATGCTGACGTGTAATAAGGGATATTGTTAAGTAAGTAAATCCATCGCACAAACCAGTCTTCTGTGGTATTGATAATTTCTACATAGGAAGGTCTCAAAGTAAAATAGTTTGTTAGTGCTCGTAATCATTGGATGAAATGGAAATTCAATCAATTTATGAAATGGCACTATGGAAACAAGTTGTTTCCTAACACGATGCGACTTCATTGATTGGATAATATGAAATACGCAAATCGGTAGTTTGAAATACGGTTAAGCATAAATCAAGGTATGAAGAGGACGGATTTATAATGTAGCAGTGTATCGCCAGCAACCGACAGCGACATAAACTTGATTTGAATAAGGCATATATATATACATACAACACTTACTTTTTCGGACTTTGTTCCGCCAAAATGGCTGATGCTGTCTCCGTAAGAAAGACTTGCCAGTCAGGTAACTGCACACTCTGGTCTGGAAGCATGGGGCAATGCTGCCACCTAGCTACCTCAGCATACAAAAGAGCTCTGCGTAGGTTCCGTTCGGATGCTAACGCGATACGCTTAGCTAGTTCAACCGGCATTGAATGGCCTTCTCGGCGAGCGGTATTTTTCAAGATTTCAACAATTTCATCGATAGATGGGGCAGAAACTCTTATTGGTAGACATCTCGAACGAGTAGCGGAAATGATCTGAAAAATAAATAACCAAGTTGCTTAATAAAGAATATGCTATACAAACACAGTTGCCACATGATGGACAATATGAAGCAAGCAACAACGAAAAACACCACTGTTAGCGGGACATAGATTGGATTAAATCATGCTCATTGCACGCTTGCGTTGGCGCACACTGATTGGCTAATTTTTGTCCAATCAGCGCTAGCCGATACTTGGAGAAGACTCTAGAATCTTCTCATGTAAAAACTATAAATATACTAACGGTTTTCCTATTGTGCTTCTTGCATCCATCTAACCTTGTTATTTGGAATACAATCTATTTCCAGTTCAACCGTGTTCTGATTTGGGGACTTGTCGAGTGAATCTGTGTCCGCGAATACTAAGCAATAGGAATAGCTGAGTTATAACCGTAATAGAGAGAATTATAACAACTACTTTTTTGGCTTTAATAATTGCATACAGGATTGATTTTTTAATTACGAAACTATAAACTAGTAAATTCCAAATTAGGAGTTCAACTATACCATGAGCCTCAGTAAAATGGATTAGCGATATTGATGATAAGCACTACTCCTGACCTCTTTATTACAGTGAATAAACAAAGAATCAACACTATCATACAATCAATGTGTCACTAGTTCAAGCAATAGGTTCATCTACAAAACACAACACTTCACGTAAAGATACTTTGTCAGTTTTCACTCTTATTGACTAGAATGACTAAACATAAAGAAACATTTAACTACCAAACAATTTTAAGTAAACAGTCAAACTATGGCGAAATTGGTTACTATCCTTAATTAACTACTATAAATAGTATTAGTCTAGTTATCATTTCTGAATGTCAAGAAGAAAACCACTTACTGCTACAACAAATCATTTAAACTGCACATCCAACACATTTATTTTAGATTAATGACCGGAGAACTTTGGTATTTTGTCTTAACTACTCAACCTAACTAAGGAATTATTAACTTAAAACATATCACTGAATAAGGAAGCACCATGTTATGAAACCGATTTCAATAATGCAACACCATTAACTTTGTATTATACTACAAAAAATCGACTGTAATTTACTGGTCTTATTTGCTTAACTTTTGTCGGTCGCTCTACTTCTCAAATCAAATCCTATTTACAACGATTTGAAAATCGAAGAATAGAATAGAGAGGGCATACAATCACAACTACAGGACAAAACTAACCTTACTGGTAGATTCCGCTGACAATATTAGACGGCAAGTGGATATGTACTTTTCCATAGTTCTACGTAAAGCATGTTGTGCGTCACGTGTTAAATGGTCCGCTTCGTGCAGAACCACTACTTTGAAATCTTTCTGTTGCCCACTATCAAGCTGAGCTGTTGATGCCATACTTTTGATTAACTCTTGAATGACGATTCGGTCATAAATCCCAACATCACTAGGATGAAAGTAAACGACATATACTAATATTATCGAGAGCAATTAGAGATTAAAACAAACGAAATGTGACTAAAATCGCCAGATTAACAGGTTAGGGATCTAAGGACGTGATTTTTACGTCAACTTATGAATTTCAATTCTTTGAAACAAACTACCACGGACTGGTAAATTTACGGTGATCTCATAAAACCACTTGAATAATTAATAAGTTACTATAGAACTAGGTTACTGTTGAAAGAGGCGTCAACAGATCCACCAAATTGAATATAGGTCGTGAAGATATAAATATCGGATAATGATAATATTGACAAAGAAAAGAGTGGAATAACTTGACCGAAAAATATTCCCGCTTTGTTTCGTTTCATAATTCACCGTGATGATTTTCAAGCGTTTATAAGATGTCAGTTCAGCAGTCCGACTTACTATCATACAAAACAACACTGAAAATAGTCACAAAACAGCTTACAAAGAACTGCGAACAATTATAACCTCAATTTTGAAGTCAAATTTCTGAGTCTTTAGAACTCCAAACCACAATTTTCCAATTATATCTCATATTCATGAGCCGTTGGAATGAAAGCATATATAATGATGTTTGACGTTTTGTCTGAGAGTGGTACTTGAATCTGCTGATTGAGTCCCTTTTCACTAAGAGGTGCTAAGTATGTACATTTCTCTAGTGAATAAGATTCTGTTCGATACTTTTAGTTGAGTCGTGGCTTACGAAGGATTATTGTCTGAAGTGCATACAACAGGTGATATCCATCTGGGTTGCTCGATCTCCTCTTATTTCACCACAAAAATAATTCTAAAGAAACTTTCGGACTTGGCTGACTATTTCATATCCAGACGCATCGAATTGAAATGAAAAAAAAACTTAAAATACGTTGCATTAGTGGGAACGAACTTATTCCTCAGCTCCGCCTGGAGTCCCTCCAGGAGCTACTGCCGGTCCCAAGCCCGGATAAAGGAGGGGGGTCGGGCGTGGGGTTAGCGACCACATCCCGTGGAAAACTAACTCGCTAAAAAAACGCTAACCATAAAAAATTATTCAAACCATTTAAACTCTGCCCTGGGATTCAGAAGGTCCTCATTTAGAAGTTGTGACGCCTCATGATGAAAACCGAGTTCCTTCGGAAGTCATAAGGCCAATGTCCCTTCTGACAACCAAAGCAACCATTTATTTAGGTACATGGAATGCTCGTACGATGTGGGAGATTGGGAGAGTCTTCCAAATTGCTTGCTGCATATATATATATATATATATATATATATATATATATATATATATATATATATACCCGAATTTATTTGATTTGTTTATTTTCTACATTCACACTTCCAGTAGCGCATTGAGATGAAATTTTCAGGGCTGACCCTGAAGTAGAGGTATTAGTAGCCTTAGCAGTAAAATAACAGGTTAAGGACCAAAAACATGATTTTAAGAAATTATAAGTTGATGTATCAGAAATTATGAGATTCAAATTATTTATTTTTTATTTATTTTAACACATAAGTATAGGTACATGGAAGCACCAAATACATATGCGCCACACGAATCTCAATTGATTTGTGTGAGGGCTGTGATACTGCCCGGGTGCCCAAACCGAAGCAGGTGGTTTTCTTAGGGGGCCACACCCCGAGCCTTCGACCTGAACGTCTGACCCACAAGGCAGTAGAGCATCGTGAGGAGATGCAGTCCCATGGTAGCCGGTGACCAACGATTGGTTCATACGCCATTTGTTCCTTCAGGATACTGGAGCCCATGTGCACCATTGCTTTGGGGTCCGGTTAAAGCGCCGGACATTCGCTTTTCGTCCTCTCATTTTTGTAAAAAACACCCCCGCCACGAGATGAGATTCAAAAGCATAACATCTAAGGGAAAACAAATAGTAGATACAACTGAACCATTGAAAAGTTCTAAACCGTCATTCAAAACTCGTAACCATTAGAGTCCATGTAATTATTGTAGCCAATGATTAGAGACTTCGAGTGACATGACTTTCCGATGTCTAACCTGTAAAACTAGACATTGGTGACAAATACGAGTCACAATACCGTGTGTGAACTAAATTCATCAATAATGACTTAGTCCAATAGATAATATTTGAATTGAACGGTAGGTGAAAGTCTATGGTGAGAAACTACTCAACGAAATTTAACCGTCGTTCGAAATGAAATATAAGACCGGTACTTCTAGGGTACAACTCAAGATAGTGTTTGCGTATAGATAACACCTCGTCATGACTAAGATCTAGAAGACACACGTAAATAGTAAAGATTTAAATCCCTAAAATTTCACTTTATCAAAAATTAAAAACAGTAGGGTCTTTACATAAATGTACCTAGGATTTACTTCCAAATGAAAGTTACTCGAAACTGTGGATAAATTGACCTTCTTGTTTGAAGGATTTGTGAAGGTATGGTGTTCCATTCTTAGTCGATCAACACCTGATCCATACAGCTCACGAAGAATACACATGATTCTAGTTCGTTTCCCTGCACCAGAAGGTCCATACACTAGCAAGTGAGGAAAATTGTTGCTATCAACCTAAAATTGTGATTTACGTCACTAAAGTAATCATCACTTACTAATTTTTTCAAATTTTTGGCTTGCCTTTTATGGTAATCTAACTTCCCCAATGAAGTAGGAGTATACTTGTCAACCCAAAGACTCATTCTCCGAAATTTCAAATAGCCGTCAAGGTTGGGTGCCAGAATCGGTCAACTCAGCCAAATGAAAATAATTTCAGACACCAAGACGAAATGTCGAACGTAATTTTTAAAAAAAAATTGCAAAGCAGTCTGCGCTTGTCTTCTAGGTTTTTCCTTCGCCTTTCTGACTTCGAGTGATATCTTCTTAAGTATCGTTTTGTGATTAGGTGTTTTCGTCTGTTAGAATGAAATAGTTACGAACGGCACTGTAATATTAACCTTATCCTTCTCCCGTTCAAATGTTTCAATGTTTGTGCTTCTCAGAGAAGTGAACAGACTTTGTCCTCTAAATGGCAGCCAGCAGGAAATGTCTAGACTAGGTCTGTTTCTGGCAGGAAAACCAAAAACTGACCATCCGATTCACCGACAACCATCCGAGATTTCAGAGTGTGTGACGCGGCTGTGGTTGCTACTTAGACAGATAACAATTCCGAAGCCCCTCTGGGTGCAGCACGAAGCCACTTAAATGAGTTTCGGATCTGTTACATAAATGCCTGAAGCTTGCTAAATAGGCGGTCGTAGCTAGATGTACATGAAGAATCTACCAAGCTAGGTGCAATCGCCGTCACAGGAACTTGGCTGACGCAGTCTATAGACAGTATGGAACTTGATTTTGGAGGCTTTATATTAGTAGGAGCCTAGATAGTACAGAAGCGTAAAGGTTAAGAAGTAGCTTTATTCATCGGAAATGCTATCCCATTTACCGTTGTTAATAACACGTCTCATGAAAGTGGAGTTTGTCAGTTAGTTAGCTGCCGCTTGAAATGCAAAGGCCAAAAGCTGCTGATTGGTTTGTTCTACTGCGTTGAACACCTATGAGGTGAAATATATCTTGCGAGGTGGTCCCAAAACTTGGTCACAAAGTGGATGGTGTTTAGTTCCGATAGACATTAATGCATCTACGGTAAACTGGAAAAATCTGAGTACTGAATTGTCAGGAAACCCCTTTGAACAGAAACTAGTTGATGCGACCACCACATATACTATAGTGCAAAATGTAAAGGAAACAATTAGGTACGACCTGAACTCCGAATTATCCTTACTAGATCTTATATTGACCCACTATAAGGATGATGTTGCGAACCTCGATTACATGCTACCCCTATGTAAGAGTGATCATGCAATTCTAATCTTCTGTAGAACATCAACCTAGATGATCTATGTCGAAATGACTGGAGGCTTACTCGAGTTAGACGTGAGTGCTGTGACAAACGAGCTAACGTCGAAGTCACACTTCGCGGTCAGCACCTTACGTGGATTATCCCATTGACGTATCAAGGTACTATAGATGCTTTGAAGACTGTACAACACATAGAACATTACTACAGAAATATATTAGTTAAAGTAGACTCAAGCGAAAGTAGGACCACTGCCGCATGGGCTAGTCCATGGCGTACGACTAACTGATGAGCGTCGGTTGCCCTTGACCTCGACGAGGATTGATGATTTGTTCGATATTCAATGACCCAACCACCGAATGATTTGGCTAGGGCTCAGTGGAATTTCACTGACCCTACACTTCCATACAGTCGTCATAAACAAGCATGTGTCAGTTCAACCCACAGCTAACGTACCAATTCTACGACATTGCCACCAGAGTCATTGGACAATTTTTGACCCGTCTTTGCTAATGCGATATTTTCACGGAAGGACGAGGATACTTCTCCGAAAAGGTGTGATGCCACCTGATAGTCCACAGGTTCTTTAGTGAGATCACACTCTAGCCACTAAGGAGGGTCTCAATATTTCAGCAAGACACGTGTATCCATAACACTGAAATTATTAATATTCAACGCAATAGTTGTTGATTTGTCATATAATTTCAATTCATCATACAAAAGATAAGAATAGTAAAAAAACGAGAATGTGTGAGAGTAAAAAAACGATGAAATACTGATAACAATTGGAGAAGCAGATAAGTTAGAAAAAACGACCAGACTGGATTCTTTCAGTTAGAGAAGTTCTCCTCACAATAATGAGGAAAGTGAAAGTTTCGGCAGGATACCAACTGGCTTTGATTCCTAACCATCTCTGATAATGTCTCAAGCCACTGAGTTGTACCTTTTCTAGGATCCCAACAAAGGAGTCGTGAAGAATCGAGAGAAGCCAACCATCTACAACTTTCTTTCATACCACGATATCATGTCATACACTTCCCACCTCTCTGTATTTTCCACCCTGTCCCAGCATAGGCAAATAATGCACGGCGTGGAACTCGCTTTGACAACATGTTTCGCGAAAACAGTCATTGTCACTATAAAAGTACGCATATGTATGTATGTATTTGGGTTTATGAATTCACATATCACATTAGGTGCCTGTTCGAACGTTGAAACCATTGTCTGTAACAAGATCATTGCATCTAGATATGATCATACATTACTAATGTAATAACCACAAGTCATAAAACTCGTTAACATTGAAGTACTGAGGCCCAATAATCATCTTTATATCCAGAGAGCTAATATTTTTGTCTCATGGATAACTCAGATTCATTAAGTTTTTACAACCATGTAATATTCCTGACATTTCTGAATCTGTCAACATAGAATTGGTATCAATAACAAGCCGAATAAATATTCAGTATATATAACAGGTACTGACACCCCAATGTAACGAAGTCACTATATTGGAAATCGGAAATATTTGGGCCTTGTCACTATCCACGTATATAAGGTTGTGTGAATAGTTTGTTAGGGAGTCTGTAAGATACCAGATACCGAAGGACAAAAGGGGGATGGAAAACCTCGGCACTACATTGACATGGTGATAGTCCGCTGCCAAAGATGACTGTGATAAAGTCAAGGTATTCTAGTACCGCTTCGGCAGCATATATAGTGTAGGGGTGCCCTTTGCCCAGGTACAACTGACTCGTCCTATCCATACTCCTTACATTGAGACTATGAGATTTCTTGGCCTCTAAAATAAATTAGATAAGAGCGATTTTATGAAAATCGATTAAATGTAGCGTTGGTAACAAAAGTAACTTACAAACTACAAACATTTGATCATATGCTGTGGTCTATCATAACCCAAAGTAGCTTACCAAGCTTCTGGAATAATGTCATAGTTAGTTCCGTCTTCAAAGCAGATGCGATACATAAACCTTAGAGTAACCAGTTCATAAGATTAAACGGATTGTTTGCCAAGATTCTACAAGAGATTATCCCCAATGTGTCATGCATTTATGTGACATACAGCTTCCGATAAATGTAGCGTTCACCGATTTCAGTATGATTTTTGACGATGTTTTATGCGACAAGTTGTTATTTAGACAATAGCCGATTTTCTGGTAAGTAATTTATTGCTGTAAATGACTTCGCAATTCAGCATAACAACGAGTACGGGTTAACTACAAGTTGTTTCGCTGGGAAAATGTGCTCAGTGGGAAGCCTCAGTAAATTCATAGGAAAAGTATGGTTTGGCTTACATTCAAATATCCTTGCTTGTATACTGCGATAATCAGTTTCGTTATATGCCGGAGACATCAGGGAGATAGTTTAGAGCTTCAGAATGATTTAGAGAAATAATCTGAATTGTTTAAAATTTGGTAGCTTCTGATAAATATTTCTAGGTATATGATGATTAAGATTGGTCACCAAGACATAGATACATATACGGTGAATATTACTGAGCTATCTACTGATTGGGCACAATAACGTGGGGGTCCGTGTCATTCAAGATTTAGAATCACTACACACTATCATACATTTGTTCATAAAGGTCTTAGAACTCCCTCAACAACACATAGAGCCTTTAGTCACGTAACTGCCAAGATGGTTTTTACTTTGTACAAAGAGGTGTTATGCGGAAGCATTTGGCTTTCGCTTTAAGTAGGCAGTGAACGTTTGTAGAAAGTTCAAATAACAGAAACTAAGTTGACTCTCTGGATTGCGAAGCTCCTGTATGACAAGAAATTTGCTAAACTAAGCTGTCAGATAGAAAATGACTTTAAAAATACCACAGGTATAAGGAGTTTAACAACACTTCAACCAGTAACACTTATAATTTAATCGTGCCCACCCAATGACATCAAGTCAGAAGATAGTAGGCTCGAAGACATACTTGATAGGTTATCGATATATCGAGAAGTAACTGATCTAAACTGGCTAACGGTCGCGGGAAAAGTTGCGCACGGCGTTCCCACTCGTGATCTCGTCCGGATACATGACCGAGCGCCTTCAGCGAGGCTAGTTCATTAAAAATAATGTGATCAGCATCAAATGTCAAAGACTTACAGTGCTATTGATTTTGAAGATTTATTTACTTCTACAACTTAATTACAATTCCAAGTAGCTAAGCATCTGATATGGCTCAAATTTTCTTATTCTCCAAAAATGGAGAATCTGTGATGACGTTTAAAAGCGGTCCACAAACCAAGAACAAAGCTGCCTATCAACTTTTTTCTTAGAATAGTTGTTGGGTGGAATTTTTTACTTCGCTGAGAGATTAAAATCTGATCTGTTAATGCATTCAAAGAGAAGTTGGATCGAATAGTAAATCTTCGTCGTCAGGACCAACATAAACCACTCAGCTTCCTGTCCATTTCAAACTGAAAATGAAACTTCAAATGCTTTACAAGTTTCTGAAACACGTAAACCAGATAGCATTAATCCAAATCGAAGAAATAAATTCATTTGGATGGCTTAGCTTTTAGCAGTCCAACCTCAAACTCTGTTTCCGAGGTCCGCTTTGTTTGCTCATTTAGTACTGTAGGCCGTTCAAATGACCTTAACCAGCGCCTAATATGGCTGTGTGAAATGCCGTCACTAATGTTTGTTGTTCGTCGTTAACTATTTTTATGCTTACATAGTGTCCATTGTTGCACGTGGAATGTTGGTGATGAAAAACCGGGAAACGAAGACCTCTCTTCCCTTCTTGGAGTTAACGCGAAACCATCACCCGATGTAATAAGCGTTGCGTAAGTTTTCTGTCAAGTTATAGTTTACTTCATAGACTTCAAGAAGTCTGTGGAGATGATGCATGGAGACAAAAGCTTTTGGAACACTTGTATCCCCATGGTTATGTGCTGGTAATCATTGTGTTAATGGCCGTCAACCTGTAAATTAATTTGAATAGATCAAGTCACGTAATTGTTGGGCCATTTGGATTTTCTCATTTTTAAAGCGAAACCTTTTGCCTGCAGTCACGAATATTGAGTCCGAGGTAACAGCCTCAGGATATGCTGGTGTCATGGTTTGTTTGATGCCTAGACATACTTGAATTTTTAAGGGAAATAAGGGTGGGGTTAGTGCAAGGTTTGAACTTTGCGGGATAAATATGATATTTCTTTCGTGTCATTTTACTGCCCACAGAGAAAACAAGCAAGATCGTTTAAATGTGAGCAGTTTCCTTTTTTGTTTATATCACAGGATTATATCGATATTATAGATCATCAGAGTTTTAGGGATGAAGATGTCAATGTCATCATTGATCATGAGTGAGTTATCTCGCTTTTGATAAATTCATATAGTTATGTTTTCTGGATGGGTGATTTAAATTTTCGTATCGATCACCTCAAAAAATCTGAAGTGGAGTCAATGGTCAAAGAAAAACGTTTTAACGAGCTTCTACAACATGATCAAGTAAACCAACATACCATATATCTATATTTTAGCTTCTTAATATGAAAAACGAGAAATTGTTATTTCATGATTTTAACGAAGGCACTATATCCTTCCCCCCAACTTTCAAATTTGACAAAGGAACGGATACGTACGATAGTAGGTAATCACACGTTTATTCATTGTGTTAACACAACTTGCTTCGTAGTTACTTCAAGTGGTAATAACTACTCCACTCCATACAATTAATTTAATGTTCTTGTTTAACCTGTATAGCTCTTCCTGTACATAGATATATTTTGATTCGGTGCAAATTCTTCCTGGAGTATTAGTTTTGCTGGCAAACAGTTTGAAATGTTTTCCTCATAAGTTTACAAAGAGTTTAAGATACCACCAGAAAAAGTAAATCAATTTACGATAATACAGTGGTAGAATTCTTCATTTCTTATAACCTTTAACCAAGTGGAAAAGCATTTTAAGGAATTCCTTTAGTGTTGGTCTGCTATGTTTGGATTGCTTTTATCATATTGATGTATTTTCGTAGTTGTGGTACGCTGTGGTATAAGTACTACATACAAACAAATAACTAGTTTGGTATGAATTTCGTTCCTCTACATATTAATTGTACTGCAGAAGTAAATTAAAGCGAGATCAACCTTATCTTTCTGTATTGAATAATCATTGAGTTTCAGTATAGTGACTAGTTAACATGCATCACTACAAAAGAAAGAAATTAGAAGAGTTTCTTGCTAGTTATACTTATGAAATTTACTTTGTTCTATGCGACTAAAGCTCGTAAAAATCAGAATTGATGACTCGCTACTCTGGGGAGGTCATCTACTGTTTCCAAGTTTAAAGTAAAAATTTTGAAAGGGAACTGATATGATTGTTTGGAAGGTTTTGACAAGTTTAGTTTTCTGTCCCCAAGGCGAAATCATTCACTCAAATCACTTGATAAGTAAAGGTTTATATTCATGGCCTTGAGCTAGATGTTTTGTACGAAGACTGTTGACAGATGTCATGCAATTATCCAAAAATAAGTAGTTGGGGCGACCATCAAACTTTTTGCCCTTGAGTCAAAAGTCAAGTGCTCTAATTTCTACCAATTCTATCTCCATTTTATCAACTAAAACTTATCTAAAAGGCATTTAAATCTATTCCATTACCTTATTGTAGTAAAAAGCAGCGCGTTCCTGCGTGGACAGACCGTATATTGTATATGGTTCACCGAGATTTTGCTCTTGATCACCACCTTAACCTCCCTGAAAATGACCGACAGAGACCAGCTAGCCCATCCCGTCGATTGCCTGTACGTGGGTCACCATCCGAAGTGGAAGAAAAGTTCCCAGCAAACAAATCTATCAAGGGGAGACAACACCCTGAGGCCGTTTTACTCAAGTATACTAGTTTGAATGAATACAAAACCTCGGATCATCGGCCAGTTATCGCAGTATTCAAATTATCTGTGCCTCCAAGATGGTTTAGTTTACCTGTCAAATTTATTGAGCCTGATGGCAAAGGTAGGAATTTTTACTATATTTCAGTGATTTCACTCATGTAATGTCCCATTTTTGAGTCTTGACTAGTGATAGTAAATGTTACTCCATTAATTTAGTATTTTTCACCTTTCATAAACCCCTCGATAAGTTTACTTAACTAATTGAGGCAAGTGGTCGGTTTTCTGATCATAAATCATCACACTATTATTCTAACAAACAAAATTATTTGTAGATCTGTGATTTAATACTGATAAATATCTATATAGATTTGAAGTTGTGCTTGTTGAAAATGATTCCGTTAACACTATATCGTTTTATGATATATAATATCGTTCTATTCATTACCATGTAATTCGTACAAGATGGTTATATATATATGCCTATTGACGTTGAGTTTCCACTACAGTTTCAATTTCATTCAGCATATTCTACAAGGCTGATCAATCAAAATAGCTTCAGACTGATTCAATAGCGTAGAAGAAAACACTGTGATACTCTTGTTTATTAACATGTGACGTTTCTAGACACCGGTCAGTGCGTGTGATACATACACACACTTTATTTGTTATTTTGTTGGGTTTCCAACTTAAATAAATTATTGTATTATGCTAGCTAAAAGTGACAGGGATCATAATCGCGTACAGTGGTTCAAGTACATTCACCCTTTTATCTTCCTTTAGATTCTAAGTTTATTATGTCTTTTCTAAAATCCACATTTCCTCAAAATAGATTGTTTTTCTCTAATCTTTTCTATTAACGGTGATAATGCTAATACTTCTACTGTTGTGACACCTCTGTTCTGATGTGATCTGGCAACTTGATCCAATACACACGTACCAGGCTATACGTTACGTCTTACTGACTGAAAATAATTAGTGGACTTCCTAGATTTGCTGATTAATTGGCTAACTAATGTATGTTTTCGCTTATTTTAGAACTATATCCCACATATGTTTATTGTAATTGGGTTATGAAAGCTATTTCATAAAATGATCTTAATGTAGTAGAATTTTGAGTCATTGCTTTAACAATCATTCGAACTCAAGTAATTTGAAGTGTGGCGAAGCATTTCACTACATTTGGAACTTTCAATGTTCTGAGTTTGACGTTTTGATCCTGATACAGTTGAGTTGAAAGTATAGTCCCAATCTCAGCATTTTGTAGTGACTGAAGAGCTTTAATGAATATTAAGCATTTAAATTGGTCCTCCATTAATGAACGTAACTTGAACTGTCCATACTCCCTGTTGACAACAACCGGGTTGAACGGAAGTAGGGATCACAATAAAAAGACGTTAATATATTTATAATTTTACACAAGAAGATCCTAGAGTGTTCCCCAAATATCCATGAGCGCTGATTGAGTAAGAAATGACCAATCCTCCTGCCAAAATACCATTCTGGACGAAACAAGTTTTAATCCAATCTATGTCCCGCTTACAGGAACATACGTACTTGTTAGTATGTTTTGGGAATGGGAAATAGTCATTATGAAAGCAAGCTCGTGCAAGATATATCGAAGTACTCCTATATGCCGCTTGCATTCAAAATCTGGAAGTATGTCGATACGGGTTTAAATCGAAGATGTGTCATATGATCACCACATATTCTTTGGAATTCAAATGGTTCATTTTCCCTACTCATCTACCTGGTTACATTAGTTCAGATCGACGTCATTCATCTACATATTTAATAAGGTTAATAGGGTAGGAAAAATGGTAGCGTTTCCTGGTATATAAAAGCTTGTTAGCAATTTATTTATGACTTCAATTTTCATTGATTATATCATCTTTGTACTGTTGTGTTTGAAAGAACTTCACTTTATTCTTATTTTCTAAATATTCTAGCATATTCATTCAATACCAATTTGGAAATATCGTACCAAGTTCTTGATCCACCCGGCCTATTAAGGCTTTCAGAAACAAATTCATTACTTTCATCCAAACAATATGTTCCAGTATCTGATTTTGCCAAACTACTATTATTGAATACACTAGGACACTCTTCAAAATCGGGAAAATCAGAAAGCACAAATGATGATGATTTAGGCCCACTGGCTCCACCAACTTTACAAACTACATCATTTGACTGGATAGCCCTTTACCCAGCAGAATTTGCAGATCTGGAAAAAGACTACATAACCTATGTTTATGCATCAAGTAATGTATCTCAAACGAAGCACCGAAAAAATTCTGTTTCTTCCGCTTTATTGCAGCCTCCAAATACAGCGAAATTTCAAGAGTTATATAAAGCTAGAATTGAGTCAAGTCGATTAAAGGATTTACCTGGTCAATCATTTTGTCTTGTTTATATGAGTCGCAATAAGCATTGTCCTCAGGGTTATAGTTTACCTTTTAAAGTGAGTTTCTGGTGGATAAGTCCGTGACTATATACTGCTTTTTATGTGTATCTAAAAATGATCATATTCGCTTTGACCGATATAACTCTTAGCTATTAAAACATAAAGTAAATTACATTTTGCTTTATAATCCTGGAGAAAGGCTAGTTTACCTTTATTTGATATGTGTTTGACAAATTGGAATACTCGATGTGAAAGTAGAACTTTTTACATCTTCGGGATTATGTCCATTCCATGTGGATTCGGAATTGTTGACCTGAATGTGTAGATGTAATTTGTTCAGTACTTCTTCATTAAACCGACTAGATGCTCTAATTATCCAAACTTGAAGAATCAATAAATTGATGAAAATTCTGTAGGACCTCGAGTACTTGTAGTCTCGACCAGTGAAGCAATAATACTGTATGTGATTGATAAACTTTTACGGGTGAGATTTCATTTTTGCGTATAATCATTCCTTCTTGAATATAACAGTTGATTTCCAGTTCTTGTTGTGGATGTTTGACTTTATTGTTGGAGTTCTTGTGGTAATTTTAATGCACAGCTAAAGGCTATGTTGCGCTGCTCAAAATCGGTTGCATTAGGAAAGATGCATTCATCCTTTATCTACTCCTAAGTCTTGACTTTAACACTTTTTCGTAATCTTTTTTACCCATTGTCATTCATTTGACTCAAATCTTACTCGTTAAACTCAGTTTCTACGCAATTACCACCATATTTTTAGTCTCATTTCCAGTCTTGTCAGTTATTTTCTTTTCTATGCTTATGTAAATCGTGATAACACATACTGATGTATATTTATGGAAAATCCTAAGTTCTCTGTGTCCGTTTCTGTGATCGTAATTATATTCGCTTTTTTCTTTCTAAAAATACTTATATATTCAGTTTCATAACTTTTAAAGCCTTCAAAGAATCAAACCATGCCCCCGAAAATTCTAGTCCTACTTAATCATCCTTCCTATTTTTCTACCACCAAGTAACTATTTTGTTAGTTACATTGTGGCTTCAACTTTTAGTGGATTCAGTCGATTACGGTATGTAACCTGTTTACGTATGTTTGTGAGTGTACACACTACGTACTGATATAGTTATTGTCAGATCAGAGGCAATTTTATACGTATAAATATTATCCTGTATTTATAAAAGAACTATGTGCATACAATCTAAAGGTAACTACAAATATAGCCTAATAATCTTGCTTACGTTGAACTGGTTCATTTAGTTTTAAGTCAGTAGTATGATATTAAGAATTTTCAATGCTAATATATATATCCAAAGAATCCTAGACTATTATACGTCAGCGATTTCTTCTATATGGTTATTAGTTTGTCTTTTGTGTGTGTCTTTTTTGGTTTTATATATGTTATATCCTGTTTTATACCTATCCTTCTTTATCACACTCTTCGTCTCAGATTCGTACTGTAAGTTTGAAAACTTAGAATTCACTATTATATACATTCCAATTTGATGAGTCGGTCAACATGCTAATGATTATATACATACTCACTGCAGATACTTCTTACACATCTAAGATAACCAATTTGTTACATTTTCTCACATTTCACAACATACTATCGAAAACAGTATATATTGATTGTTTACTCTTACTTAGTTTCTTTTTTTTATTTACCTTTCTTTGCTGTCGTAAGATGCCGTAGCTTTGGCAGTTACGCACCTTTACCTAGTCATATATTATTTTGTATGTATTAGCGTTCTCTTCTATACTTTATGATGTAATACTTTAGTTAACAGATATACGACACTTTATACGATTATTGTTTTCTGTACATAATGTTTGACAATTAACACGTAATTATTGGCAACTAAATACAGATCGTTCTTTTATTTGTGAAAATTGTTTAACACCAATCATACTTAAAGTATATCACTGGTTCCATTAATCCTTAACCATTAACCTAACTGCATAATTTACTATATATTGTAAGTTTCTGCTTCTCCTTCTTCCTCTTTTCCAAATTCCTTTGAGTATTAAAAAGCGACACATCTATCATGTGATTATCAAAACTAATATATTAAATAATTAAAAAAAATCATATTTACTTCTTTATAGGTTAAAAAGCCAACGAAATTAAAGAAATTATTACCGAAATTTCTTTTGTCTAAAAGAAAACCATCGTAATAAGTAATTAGAGTTGGTAATATAAACTTGTTTATTGTGTAGAATTTGTTATAAAAACTATATATATCACTTATGTTTTTAGCTGTACAAAGTTGTTTTTTAATTTAAAAACGATTTTGTGTTGGTGATGGGGTTCCAGGGTTGATGATCTTATTTAATATAATGATTATAACCTGTTGAATCTATCAACTATATAGTTGATTCTTTTGAGACAACCTCAATTTTTTGTTATGGGTGATTGATGCACTTAAAATAATTGTAATAAAACATTTCTAATTGTGTAGCCTATTTTGATCTATACATTTATTTCAAATTATATTAAACGTCATTAATTCATGTTAACATTTATTGAAAGTAACCACTTTAATAAGACTGTATATGATGAATAAAATTTAAGAGATCTTTAAAACCGAAGTTCAACCATCATAGATTTCACTGATGGACTGCTATGTTTAAAGATCTATGTGAGTTTCATTGCCATTCTTTAGGTAATTGAAAGTTCCTTTCAATTTTTGGCTTTCGTTTTAGAATGATGTATCTTCCTTAAGCCTATGTACATTCGAATTAAAACTTAATTGGGATTTAAATGCATGTTGTAAACCATATAATAGCATTCATTTAGCATCATCGAATGACCAATAATAACGAGTTGCTTAGTATAAATTACATTTGAAAATAATGTTTTTCGTGGGATGGCATCAACTAGCGAATGATTGAAAACAAAATAGCACTGTTTTGTTATAGCTAAGAATCTCATAATAGTACGCATCTATTACATCCTATATGAGACTAAATCTTTTACATTCAAATTTCGTGACAAATGTGATTTTATCCAGCTATCTAATGTGTGCTTAATGGTCATTTAACTCAGCTCCAGATCATACTTTCTATATAACGGCTGATAATACTAATACTGTGTTAGAGCTATGACATCTATTCATTTAAACCATAGATTATTATTAAATGTATCTTCCCATTATTGGCAAACATTTTTTTAGAACAATGCACAAATTACATCATCATTCGAGCTAGAAACTATTAACTGATAATTATATTAGCTGGAACTTTGTATATTTTAAATAGGCTGAAGTTGTTACACTTTATAACAGTGCATAAAAAGAAAAGGTAATTAGTAACTGTAATGCATTAAATTAATCAAGAAGGTTATTGATTAAGGATAGAATTTAAAATGACAAATAACAGAGTTATTATTACGTAGAAGTAAGCAATATATTACTACGTTTTAACCTAATTTATTTTAAATTATAATATATAGGGTCACCAATAACATTTTCTATTATACGAAAGGGTGCAATCAGAGAATCTTCCTCCTTATGCGTAATCCGAGAAAATGGTCAACAATTTAATTAATAATCAGGTGTTTTGCAATATTAATTTTAGTTGTAAACTATGACAGTGTTATAGAAATTCTATAGATACAACTCTCGAAACTAGGACATATAATTTTATACAAACAAAGATTATCATTTCAAAATAAAAAAATAACAGTTGTAAGATATCTTAACGAAATTTAATACAACTTAGTAATTGAATACAAGTTCATGTATGTTTTTAAGTGGGAACTATCGATACTATCCAATTGACGTAAATGGAGTAAATGCCTTAACTATTAAATAATTGCCTCTATATGTAATATTTGTCTACCATGCACTTAAATATTTGTTATACTAAAGTACTGTAATAGAGTACAAAAACAAATATTAAATATGTTTTACCATTTATATCAACTTTAACCATTTTAGTTAAAACGGAAACAGTTTTTTCCATTGTGTATGTTGATGCTTACTGCCAGAGAGGCCGCTGATATACTGTTTGTCTTGATCTGCATTTGTTGGTATGTATTGAATTGAAGAGTTAGGTCATCTGCAAAGTCCAAATCGTCTATACTCATTCAAACTATCCATTGCATTCCAAGCTTCCCCTTAGATGTAGAAGTCTTCATAATCTAGTCATTCACTCTAATGAAGATAAAGAGTGAGAGTAAGGAGGCCTATCCGACACTTGAAATTCATCTGTGCTGCTGCCTTATATCCACGACTCTGCAGTGTAGTCCATTATAAGAATTCCGTATGATGTTTACAATGTTTTCAGGTACACCAGGAAGTTGAGGAAGATTCTCTAGGTTCTTTTATCCACCCTGTGAAATGCTTTCTCAAAGTCGAGGAAGTTGATGTGTGGTGAGAAATTCCATCCAACTGATTGGTGCAGCCTGTTGATTTCGAAGTTGGACATTTACTGAATCTCTCATCTGGTTCAACAAAACACTATTGAGAACTTTCCCAGGAGGTACAAGCAACTGAATACGTGCTCCACGTTCTACTCAAGAAGATTTGGGAGGAAGAACAAGTGCTAACACCCCCGAATGCCCTGGTACGACCGAGTGGGGGGATTCCGCTCACACTCTCAAAATGCTCTTACATGGCCATGCGTATATAGCCTCTTGTCAGGGAAGTCCTACTCATTGCCTTCTCGTGGCGAGGGTGTTGTTTACAAAACTGGGAGGACGAAAACCGAATGTCCAGCGCTTTAACCGGGTTGGTGGACATGGAGAGTCCACCTAGGGGGGTTCGAAAACCCTGATTCCAAACCAATGGTGCACATGGGCTTCAGTATCCTGAGGGAACAAATGACATACGAACCAATCATTGGTCACCGGCTACCATGAGACTGCATCTCCTTACGATGCTCCACTTCCTTGTGGATCGGACCTTTAGATCGAAGGCTCCAATTGTGGCCCCCTAAGGAAACCACCTGTTTCGATTTGGGCACCCAGGCAGTATCACAGCCCTCACACAAATTAATTGAGCTTTGTGTGGCGCATATGTATTTTGGTGCCTCCCTGTACCTATACTTATGTGTTAAAATAAATAAATAATAATAGTATTGTGATGTTTCTGTAGTCCTCACGCACGTGTTAACATTTCTTTTCTTTTGTATCTTGATGAAATATCCTTCTTTTGCATCTGTTAGCACTTGTATTATTATTATTATTATTATTTGAACACATAGACATTGGTATATGGAGGCACCAAATACATATGCGCTACACAAATCTTATTTGATTTGTGTGAGGGCTGTGATACTGCCTGGGTTTTCGAACCCCCCTAGGTGGACTCTCCATGTCCACCAACCCGGTTAAAGCGCTGGACATTCGGTTTTCGTCCTCCCAGTTTTGTAAACAACACCCTCGCCACGAGAAGGCAATGAGTAGGACTTCCCTGACAAGAGGCTATATACGCATGGCCATGTAAGAGCATTTTGAGAGTGTGAGCGGAATCCCCCCACTCGGTCGTACCAGGGCATTCGGGGGTGTTAGCACTTGTTCTTCCTCCCAAATCTTCTTGAGTAGAACGTGGAGCACGTATTCAGTTGCTTGTACCTCTGACTTCAGTAGTTTAGCTGGTTTATTGTTAGGTTCAGTTCCTTTCCCACCCTTAATTTGTGTGATGTCCGGCCATTGTGATTTCTTCTATCGCTGGTGAAATGACATCTTTGGGAATATTTGTATGTGCTGCTTCGATGTCCGGTTTGTTCAGTGGAGTTGGTTTATTCAGGAGACCTTCAAAATGCTCTACTCACTTGTCCTATCGTTCTTGAATCTCAGTAATCAACTTAAGAAATGGTCACCGAAAACGTTGTGGTCGTAAACATTTATTTCATTCCTACATAACGTTTTTACTAGGATTAGTGATTTGAATGACTTTTACTGTCAAAACATTATTTAAAATTAAAAATTAAAATATAACTACAGATTGCTTTTTATATAAAACCGTCAGTGTATAACATTCAGCCGATTTATTTGTCAGATAATCATTTCTTTCTCTTAAATTTCAAAACAAATAAGAAGATAGAATGTCATAAATAGTAATTTGCTATTCACATTTTTAATGACACTACTTTTAACATTTTTTGTGTATTATCTTTCAGTTACAGAATTAATTAAATACTCAACTTATAGAAAAGAATGTTTGATCAACGGACAATACAACCTTGAAAGATTAATAATGTCTCCTGTTTATTAGTTACCTCAGTTATACAAATACGTCAATCTCATTTATCTTACTCTATGTTGTGCTGTTTTAACTGTGTTTTCCTTGTATGTATTACGCTTATTATTAACATTATTTCTCGTTCAGTATCGTGATTATGTTGTTTCTTCCTTTTTATTCACTTTTTTTCGTGATTGTTTACTTTCATTGTTTTTCTATTGCTTTTGATTTTTTCATTTCATGCGAAACTCAATTTTAAGGTAATATATAGATGTATTCTTTGTTTTGTGACTAAGCACTTGAAATTATTGTTTTTGGCTTTTTGATTATAGAATATATTTCACAGGGTAAAAAGGTGGCTTACTGTTCCATTGTTGCTTCTAGTTGAGTTTGGACAGCTAGTTAGCATCACTAGCTCTCATATATAAAGATGATCAGTACTCAATAACTTAGTTGAGTTATCATATCTTACAGTTATATATTGAGGCATTGTTGATCAACATCACATACTTACTTTTTGACTTGAGGAGAAATTAAAAAGAATGGTCATAAAATTACTGTTCAAATCTATGTTTATCATTTTAAATAGAGTGATCTTGTTCATGATCAAAATTGATAAAGCACTTTTGTAAATCATTATCAACATGTTTAATTCTCCCAAAGGAATTTTAAAGTTTGTTCAAATTGATTAACCAATTGCCAAAATCATAGTTATTGTGTTTTTTACACTAAACAATAAGCTGTATCATTTTTCAGTTTATATACTGACCAGTATTGAGGTAATACATCAAATGTCTGGGATTTGAGTAACATTTTCAAGTATGACCGTTTGACTGAATAACATGTCAAGCGTAACAACGTTATTAACGAGTTAGAGTCAGAAAGCTAAGGACCATATGTTCTAACAGTTGGATAATCGCTTATTAAGATGCTAATAAATAATTTTTAATTGTTAATAGATTGGTTTACTGTTCAGGACTGTGTAACAACAATGCCGAAACTTGATGCTATTTCGAGCTGTCAGTGGGGTATGACCACAATAAGCTATTTTATTAGATAAATAACACTACTGAAAAATTTCCTCCTGTAAAAACCAGAACAAATCATTTCATAAAGCTTCTACAAGGAAGCAATGTAAATTGTCAGCGAAATTCTTCGAAAAGTAGTTCTAGTATCGTGTTTATATTCAAAAGTGATCCCCTAAGTTTAGTGGTACAACAACATATAACAATTGACCATTCATTGACTCTTTTGATTCACATACATTGAGGTATCAATCTTACAATCAGTTTTTCTGTCATTCTTACGAATCTTGCTTATTTCATCGTATCTATTTGTTTTGGTTAGTCAATAAACTATGTCATAAGCTATACATATTTACGGAACTTGTTTAAAACTAATGACATATACAAACGTTTTCAATCTAATAAAGCAGCCAAATCAATTGAAACATCAGCCACTTATTGCCTAAACAAAAACCACTAGTTTTTGTTAGAAATTATTATATCAGGCTTGTAGTTGTATGTTAAATTAAGCAGTAATCTCACAAACTTAAATATTATAAATCTGCATATGAAAAATCAACGAGATTGTGATAAATGTGATCAACATTTTAGAAGTTAAGTCATGTTTGGATGTATAATCCAATAAGATTTGAATTTGACAGGTGTTTGACATACAAATATTGATAAATAAAGCTATCAGGGATATGATTGTGAGGTTAGATAAGTTTTTAGGAATCTATTATCGTATGAAAGTAGTCTTTATGTGGAATTGAGGTCAGTTAACTTACAGTTTGGAGTGGTTGAGCTAATACCAATTCATGATAAGAATGATCTTAATATGCTATAATTCTCGCGAAACAATCTCGGCGACCTTCATACAGTGATCTTTAGATGGAAGTGATGCTGATAATTCTGGATTATTTTCACAAATATGGAAAAATCACGTAATTGTCAGTTCTAACCTTGTATAAATTTTAATTCTATCTAATCGAGCATGATGAATTAATTGATTATGCATAAGTTATCCGTAAATATATAAGGATGTAATTTAAATGATATCTAAAAGTGATGTCCAGTAATTAAGCCTTTGTAACTTCAACGATATTTTTTATTTCCTACCATTTCTGTGGGCATATATAGTCCCCTAATTTATCTGAAGATTTACTAACAGTAACTTAACTTAATGTCAATTTAGCTATTTATTGTAGATTATCTGTAAATGAATATCTGATAGGAAGGATTTTGTATGTGATCCATATCAAATTTAGCAGATCAATGTAGACTTAGCATTCTTACTTGTTGTGTTTAAAAACCATACTGGAAAATTATGGATATTATTTTTAAAAATCATTTAAATACCTATCATTTGAGTAGGATATGATAGTGTTGTTGTTCATTATTTGTTTTATTTTTCTGTGATGTAAATGTCATGGCAAATAAACGTTAGTACAGAATCATTTGTTCATGATTCCTGAAAAAAACAGTTTATTCCATAAAGTTGATCACCATAATATAAGAATTAAGATGGGTCAATAATGTATTCATGTAATCTAATTGAATATGCATACGGATTATACATATATGCCAGAATGCCAATACACCAGTATCCTTTGTACATTTTTGCTTATACATTTTTAAATGTTTCTATAAACTAATATAAAATTACTAAGTAGATTAAAAGAAATGTATGAAGATGATGATTTCCAGCAAGAAATAGGCATTTCTAATATCAGTCTATACAAATTAATGGAATTGCTTATTATTTGCTTAAAAGAGGAATAAGTTTGAAAAGTTAAAGTTGGTCAACTGTATAAAAAGGATTATTCTTGCAACAACTTAACACTAAGAGAATAGCTATTCATTTAAGTCATTCACATAATTTGCCCTGTATTTTTTGAAACATGCCTAGTTTTGTTTATCAGTGTCCATAACATTAATTATCATTCCCTATTCATTCAAAACGAAACTGGAGACAGTAAGTCTACTGATATTAAGTTTCCATTAATCAATTATACTAGAGTTGAGATAGTTTGATTATTTTTGTAGGTGAGTAATAATCATTTAATACAAAATGTAACAATGTTTTAAGTCACAAGCTTTTTGAGCAAAGATGGATTGCACAAGCAGATGGCTATCGGGACTCAGTAGCCAAGTGGATAACGCGACGGCGTTTTGAGCGAGCGGTACTGGATTCGAGTCCCGGAGTGAACATCAACTCTGGGATGCAGGTATATCCAGCTAACGAGTCCCAAATGGGACGAAACGTGCGTCCTGGATTCCGCTGCTAGCCGCTATCCATCTTTGCTTAAAAAGCTTGTGACTTAAGGCTATATCGAGGCGATCCGCACACGATGCACATATGTCAAAATGAGACTGATCAATCTCAGTCCTAAATGACAATGAGAAGATACAAGTAAAACAACGCCAAGCGAGTGTAATATTGTTTGTTTCTCATAAAGTAGATTTAATGAAATTCTCCCAAAATAGTTGGGTTTTATAAAGTTGGGCTTAATTACTTACAATGGAAACAAAAAGTATGTAAAGCTTTCCTCTTCAGATGTTTCTATTTTGACTTTATTTAATTTTTTGTTTCACGTTCAACGTATCAAGATATAAAACAGGTGTTTGTTGGAACTTGTGTTTATTTCACTCTAGAAAAATGTTCCACTAAGTTTATACTTATATGATTTGTGAAGTGTTATGTGTTTATGTAAACTGTAAGTAGATTTGTAGGAGTTTGAAAGTATATCACAATAATCAAACTAGAAATAAAGACCAGTCAAAACGTGATCTTTCGAACATTATGTCAAGTAATTTAATTACACGAGGCTACCACTAATAAGTCTCTTAAGTTCTATATGTAGTAACAAAGTGAGCCAGTAGTAGTAGCTCACAGAGGTATATGACTGAAATTTATTTTGTGCTCAAGCATCTTCGAACTGCCTATCGTATTATTTAGAGTATCGTATTACGCATATAACAAACAGTAAATTTCTTTTACCTTTGATTATCATATAGAAGGAACCAAATATCTTTTGTTTATTAGTTAATAAAGGTTTATTTAACAAAATATTTTAAAAGGGAAATGGACTCTTGGCTGAATTCAAATGACATCAATGTATCTGAGGTTAATTTTATAGAAAAACAGCACGAACAACTTCGGGCTAAAATAGTAGTCTGACACTTAATTATGTACGCCTGTTACCCCTCATGGAGGAGCATAGGCCACCGACCAGCATTCTCCATCCAAACCTGTTCTGGACAGTTCTTTCCAGTTCCTGTTCATCCTTTTTAAGTTTGCTTTCAATTCCCGACGTAGTGTGTTCTTTGGCCTTCCTCTTTACCGTTTCCCTCCATGATTCCGATTTAGGGCGGTCTGACACTAAAGGACTAATAAACACTAGCTCAGAAGATAAAATGTGTCATATTAGTCTCTATATTTGAAGATCAGTAATGAACACTCATAAGAAACTTTAAACTAGAATTAGACAAATGTTTATAGGGCTTTAATTTTGGCTTTTATTCTAAATTATATTTGAAGACGTCTTTTAATCATGATCAGTTTCGGAACGAAGTCACATTTTATTTTTCTAGATTCCAACAGTGCTGTATATTTCGTGATAATTTGTTCATTAGAAAAAAATGACTTCGAAATTTTACTAAATGGTGTAATAAACTTGTATTTTGTCACCAGTTGTATAACAAAACAGCTCAAATGCTTGATTTTAGATTAAAGGCCACACTAAGAAAAATCAGTTTAATCAAAAAGCCACTGTATATCAAAGAAGTGAGTGCTGAAATAGTTAAAAACGTACAAACTCCCATTGATATGGCCCTCACTTATATGTGTTCCAAAACATACCAATCAGAAAAACAGAAATTAAGACTCGTGATAAAATGAGTCAAAATACTGCTTTAGAAATTGAAACGTGTTGGCTATACTTTCAAAATATATTTCGTTTGATAATAATTTCTTTAACAACACAAAGAGTTTACTTGATGTCTAAATAGTTAACTTTAGCAGTGATAGGTGAAAAATACAACATTATTACATACATCTAGAGTGAAGGTCACCATAAGAGTCTTTGTTTATTGGTAACATTAATAAGCTTCTATATATTATATACTACGGTTTCGTATATCTAAACAGAATAGGTTAAGATGAAAACACTGAAAAGAGCGAGTTTTTACTTGATGAAATAACGAGATGTTATCTCTTCAAAAAATATATATTTTATTCACTCTACTGATACTAATATGCTTAAACTGTTATCGCTATTCAGTGTATCTCTTTTCTTCAATAAATTTTTATTTTAATGGAAATATTATGATTGAGAATGATATTTATGATGTTGTACTGAATGCATGAACATACAAAAATAATCAAACCATCCATATATCATTACCAAGATTTGACTTGATAATTTCGAATAAATTGAGCATTGGGTAGATTGTTCTAAATAAACTAATATATTTGTAATATCCAAGTTTAAAAATTTGTATTAATTTTGATTTGGTTATTTATTCTCTGAAGAAGTGGCTTACACTAAGACACGGAACGTCAGAAGATCTAATTTTTTTCTACTCATTGGGATATTATAAATATGTTAATTTATTTATAATCAAACAATCTGTTTAATATTTTAACCAGAATTACCACTCAATACTTACTAATATAATCATAAATAAATTTTGTTTA